TAAAAATGTACATTTTTTCTCAATTATTGTACATATTTATTGTTTTTATCTTATATAGATAAAATATAACATGCGATTTGTGTTGTTGTTTTTTTTTTTTCGAATTGTATGTTTATGTATAATAATAATCAATCAATTCGAGAGTTGATCTGTGTTTATTAATTATTGTAACCAAACTAAGTGACAAACATTCATTTTGAAAAAAAAGCTTATTTATCTGTAAAATATTTGTTCTGTTCTGTAACGATATCTACTCCAAAACCGGGAGAGGCCGGACAATAAACATGTGGTACTATTCGCCGGTCATTAGTAAATCCCGGGAGAGACCGGGAATTACCTAGGAGTACATCCCTCTATAAATAGATTTTTGGAATATTAAGGTCATCAACTCATCATTCTATTAACAGCTTTCGGAATAACATACCATAATAACCCACTGCGTACTACAAAATGATAAGCAAAAATACCCCGAAGAGCGCGATTTATTGACGGAAAAGGTTATTTCATTTGAAAATGTTTGCATTGCGAAATTCTCCAGTTTGCCATTCATTGTACATATCGCGACTAATTAACAATCAAGCACCCTCATACCGATCGGAATGATCGGCTTTTATTATTGGCAACTATAAAAGGCTCGAGAAGTTGCTGTCGCCCTTTCACAAAATCTCATTTCATTCCAATAGGCACCGCGCCGCGGACGCCAATTACAATACGTGACTTCACTATATCTCCTGTACATGCTAGCATGCCAATCAATCTTTACTATACAGTTAATTAAGGAAGCAAAATTTTATTACAAATTCTTAAAATGACTACAGTTTAAATGCATGTACATAATTACCGGTACACAAAGTTTGGAAGAATCATACTATTGTCAAGAATGATCATCAAAGTTGCTGCATGATAAGGAAGTGATGACATAATGAGCAAGGTGTCTCGCCCTTGGTTCAGGAGTATAACACAATCATTGTTTATTTATAATGCTGACAGTGATGTCAAGGTACAAACTTGAGCATGGTCTAAATCAACTCAAAGTTTTAAACACAAACAAACTCAAATTCAAAACCTAGATGAATACAATGAAAAAATTGTAGCCCTAAATAATGAAAAATAAAGTCTTATATTTTTTAATCATCATTCTTGTTACCTAATTAAAAAGGCAAAGTAAGCCGGTGAGATTTATATGGCACATCACAGAATCAAACTTTCAACCTCTCATATCTGTTTTTCTACCACAATAGTATAGACAACATGTTTACAATTTGTAAAACATCAAATATAGAGCCCAACTTATTACAGAGACCATCAATTCATTATAAAATTATGTTAATAATAAAAGGAACCTGCCTTACAATTTCCCACTTAATTAATAATTTTGGGTGATAATTATTTGACAACCCAGACAATACCCCTCCTATTATATTTTACAAAGAAGACAATTCTCCTTCCGTTGTTTTTTTTTTTTTCATACAGGACAACTCCCTTCCCTATAATTTCCTGTCCTGTGTAGATTTCAATACTTAAATACATGTACTTGTAGTTGTTGTGTGACAGATTTTCATGTCTGTTTTGGGCAACATTCTGCTTACAACACAATCACAAACATTCCAAGACAACATGTAAGATGATGTCAGTATAACAGACAACACTTCTTCTTTATGAATTAAATTGTGCATATGACAAAGTACTCATTTTAGAAGTCACTACTTTCTACCCATAAGTTAAATGTACAAAATGAAAATAACACTTTTAATTAAGCTTAAAAATCTGCTGGCGTAAACATAAATTTTAAAGCAAACAATTGAAGTACATGAGTATTGTAAATATGATTTTTATCACTCAGGGGCCAAGATGTACTTTATATCTATAACATTTATCTATGTAATTTATCAGCTCAAAGATAGGGACAAACAGTACATTAATAATACTATTATATGATGTATGATGGAGCATGTACTGGTAGGCAGTTCAAATGTTATTGTATCTAGACTGTATCTAGCAAACAAAGCTATCATTAATGTAGATCAAAGTTCTACAACACACAAAAACAAGTCACTAAATGTTATATATGTCATATGGCAGATGTTCAACTTCCCATCAAACAGGACACACATATATCAATTAATATTGTTTAACATTTTATGATTACTTTTCATGAGTAATAAAATTATGAGGATAATTATGTTCTAATAAATATCTATGTCAATGACCTGCCCCTTAAATAACAAACAAAAACTATAACATTTTGATGAGTATAATCATTTATAATGTTTCAACCAAACATGGTATGTAGTATTAAACTTTCAGTAACATACAAAAGTTTTCTGGGTTTTTTTTTGTTGGTTTACAATTTTACAAACTCTTGATGATTTAGAAACAACCTTATAACTGACAGTAAAATCCAAACTATATAATCTACATGCCTTAAAATCTGAAAGTCAAGTTTGTAAAATATGCCAAGATTTGTTTGCTTTGATGTAAACTCATCATTAAGGAGAAAAATGAGATAATTCAACAGACATGACAAACAATTAGAGATTGAAACATTCACTTTATCATCACTGTTTTACATCAAAACCATTTTTCAAATTGTTTACCAGATCAGGCAACAAAAATAAAGCTAAAACATCAACAATTAGCTTGACACACACAGAATTCTGAGAAACGATCACATAAAATTTTAACTACAAAGAAGGATGGCAATTAGCAATACGTCAACCCCACATCCGATTTTATCTGTTTACTACTACATGCATCTAAATTGCCTGAGGGTGGATGTGTAAAACATTTTAAAATCATAAAACCAGTATGTGAAGTAGGTCAGGCACGTACATGTTGACTGTAACAGCCCAAGTATCATTACGTCAGCGCTTAAAGTAAATACTATCCAACTGAATCGCTTTATAGCGGTGACTAAAATTTCATGATGTGTGTATTGAAATGTATCATAAAAAAATAAAGTATAAAGATACCATATTTATTGTAAAACAAAAACATCTGCTTTCGGGCTGTTTTCTTATATTTTCCTACAGCTGTCTAGTTTAATCACTCTACACCCAAGGGCTACAGTTAAAACTGTCACTATTTGTTTGATAAGTTCAAACAGTCATTATTGAGTATGATTAATAAAACACAAGAAGGAGGCAAAGATAATTTTACTGGGTTTTACCAGATATTTGTAAACAAATAAGATACTTGAGAAAACACTTTCAACATCCTTACAGGATATTGTCTATATTCCTATTCAAAAGTAATCTATTGAGATATAAATACCCATATCAAGTGGGATATAACATTATCATATGACCATGATTAATATTAACAATTTATATCCTTTTTTCCCTGAATACTTAAAATCTGAAACTAAACAACAAAAGTGTTATTCTTATCCTCCTATTTCAAGTAATAGTTATAATTATGTTACAAGAATATATTTAAGGAAAATTAAATTTCTAAGAATTTCATAAATTAATAAAAATGTTTCGACATTTCATTTACATTTACTCCTTGTACAACACTGTTAACAATTTTTGTACCAAGCCCTTAAAATTATCTGTTTATCGGTTATACCAAGATGCCTTCTTGACCATGAAGAACTGTTTATACGGACTACTGGTTAGCCTCCAATCATGAAACTGGTAGATCATCATGGCATAAAATGTAAATATGTTTAAACTAAATTAATAAAAGATGTGGATTTTTTTCCTGATTTAAATTTGAAATTGTCCATAGTGAGGTACTGAAAATACTCAACAAGTATACAGCTTTGTCACTCAGAACTCTTTCATATTTAATTAAATCAATAAAAAGTAATAATAGGAATCTGTTTACTCAATAAAATATAATAGACATATTTCTTAATAATCAACAGCTTAAGAGACCTTGACCTTCCCAGAAGTACGTCTGATGCTATCTTGTTACTCAACTAATATGGTTAAAAAAATGAAACAGACAGCAATCAACTACGCTATAGTACAAGAAAGATTAGTTGACATTTATTTCAATGATTTGATAATAGCAATCTATATAAAACAGGTAATTTCCCAGTAATTTACTTTCTATACAACTGCTTGCACATGTTTATAGGAGAGCTGTAAGGAGAGCGTGATTGGCTGCTCACGTGTGTAACAATATAAATCTATATTAACCATCCATATATATCTGTAACTGATTTATCAGTGAAAAATATTCTATATCGGTGATATTTTTTCCTTCTTTTCATAATGGTATCAATTCATAATGGTTGAAAAATTGATACCCCTACCTCTTAAAAATGCTGCCAAAAAAGACCCGAGCTTTGCTTTTGTTGACATATATTTTTTCTTAATAAACCTTATTACTCAACTGTGTGGATTTGTTCTCAAAAAGGTGAAAGAAAACCAAATTGAATACAAAACAAGGTTAGAATGTTTGAAAATAAGGATATCTGAAAATAGAAAGTTGTGATACGAATGAATTATTTTGATCTTATTTCAAGCCTACAATATTGGTTAACTAGGTAGTGTATAAGGCCTATGGACTGTGAGTTCTTTAGTTTGAATCTATGATGTGGAATTTATTTTTTTATCAAAATATTGTGTTATAGACCAGCGATATAACACCCTCCCCCAGTAGTTCATTTTAAGAAGTTGACAACTGGTTAAGAATCCAGGAATATTCACTAAGTAATTGTACACTTATGCATCGACTAAACAACTGCCACAGTCTGGTGCTTACACTAAGCAAATAAATATTTCAAATACATTAGGACTAAGGATCATGATATCATTCATAAAACAGAACTTAACCCAGAAGAAACAGATGGGCCTGGGTCCATTAAAATATGTAAAACAAATAGCCAGCCAGTCTATAAATACATAACAATATGATCGTTATTGTTGACAGTATTACGGAAATACAACACACACTGTACTGTTATGACAAGAGAGAATAATATGAATGAAGACTAGTAAAAGGCAAAAAGGGAGGTGATAAAAAACAAAGAAATACAATATACATACCTTTAATCTTTGATGCATACAAAATTTGCACACTTGACTATTTTCTTCTGATTTTACACTCAAAGAGTCCGGGACATGCATAAAAGCTTTCTTTGGCTGCATATGAAAACAAAACAGTAAAAAAGTCTAACTTTTGTCCTGCACTTTTACCCTATTGACATTATGTGACAGACCACAGTTAAAGGCACTCCACTGAGGTCCAAAGCTTAAAAATATAAATTTGAAACTTTTATATAAATCAGCAGGGAAACTTCAAAGGAAAAAGATGGAAAATAAAGAAAGAAATATACACAGATATATTTTGAAAATCAATGTTGAGTGCAATTCTTAGCTTGATTTGAGTTGATGAAAATTCTAAATTTTAAATCATTTGGTTTGATCTGCAATTTTGCCAGGAAGTCCCTCACCAAATACAATCCAGTCATGTCAAACAACCTTTGTGGAGTCCCTTTAAAGGGATTTGAGAACAGAAATATCAACAAGTAGCTGCAAACATTACAAAGTCTGTATGGTTGTGGCAAATACCTGTCTTTATTATTGACAAGAATTTAATTAAATTCAAGATGCAAAACTCGAATCTTTTAAACCTGTAGAGAAAGCAAGTATATAATCAACTGTTCAGGTTAGATTTTCTCACTCCTTTATTATTTAATTTTGAATAAACATCTTACAATAATGCAACAAATTGACACTAATTTGTGTGTTGTTTACAATAAAGCATCACTGTGTCTCTTCAGAGTCATAAATTTAATATGCATATATCTTTGATTTATTCTGACAGAACCATAAAATTCAGTCACGAATACATGTTAAAATTTAAGGACAAAGACATATCTAGATGGAAATAGAAATTTAGACATAATTTGTAACGAATCTTGAGCATATGTAACTTAGAGGTAACAAAAATAACCTTGCGTCGCCTGTCATATTTACTCATAACCAGGGGTTAAGTGTGCTTATGATAACTACTTAATTATGAACGAAAAGTTGACGTCTGCTTGACAAATTGAGACGAAAAACACAGACCAATCTTAAAGCCTCCAGTCATATATACATATACGAGCTAGGATTGTCAATCTGTTAGCATGGACAGATCTAGGTTAACTTTTATTAATATTTAATGCAGTGTGTACAGGAAAATGCTAGCTTGTATTATAACAGCCATAATATCTTAATGGAAATTATATCATGATCATCAATAAGGAAATGAATTTTAAATATACTACTGTACCTCAGAACAATAAAATTGGTATGCTTTAAACTGAAAATATGATCAATTTAGGTCAATGTATACATCACATAAAAAACACTCAAACTATTCCTTTTTCAATAAAAGTCTGATGCATTTTTCATGGATTTTTCATGTTTTGTAAAGGCTTTCAATGGATCAAATGTTTACATAGGAGTTTTGAGGTACACTGCCCCAATAACCTGGCATCCCAGTATATACAGTCTGACCCGTTTGCCTCTGTTGTCACCTACCATTGCGTCATGTTCATCCAATGATTAATGTGGTCACTGGGAACATCATGTACATGAAGCATAAGTTTACATCAACTAAAGCTTATGTATGCATATAAAAACATTACCATCTTACCTTGATTTCTACACTTAGTATGGGATATGAACATTTTGGGTACAAGTGTGAATCTCTGATGTAGCACAAGTCTGGCATCACTAAAGCCGATAATGTTGTGGGGTCAAGTGTACTGTGCTCAACATCTTTTCCTTTCCTCTGAGCTGTCAAATAAAATTTACATAAATAAATTAATGAAAACTGAAATCTTTGGACACTTGTTGCCATTTTTGTAACAAGTTTCAACATATTTTCTTCAGGGATATATATTACTGATGTAATCATTCATTGCAGAAGATTGCTGCCATATTCTTATTCATTGAAACAATATTTAAGTCCCTTTCCCAACCATTTCTGGGTTTTCAAAGTTTTTGTAATTAAAAGTATGTGTCTGGAATATATCATTCCATCAGATGCCAGTTCTGTTGTTTTATCAGTCCAGGGTATTCTGATAATGATGAGCTCAATGTTCTAACAGTAATCAATGCTGCACTGTTATATCTATAAATTTAGTGCAACATTTGACAGAGGCACAATAATCATGTATATGTATCCTGTAACAAAGTTAAAGAACTGACCTTAGACCTACTAGAATAGGAAAGTCATTATTGCATCAACAAATCATTATCCATAAGTTTCGTTCTTTAATATTATATAATACACCAGTGTTTCTAGTTTAAATAAGCCTACTTTATGAACTTACAATATTCAAAGTGCGAACAAATATTTTCATTATAAAACAATGCATTTATATAACAGTACAGACATGTAAGAAGAATAAACACATTGTTTCACATTACCTGGTCTTGATGTTTTTATTTGATACTCAGCTTCTTGTGTCAGTCGACCTTCAAGCAAACGAAGTTCCTTGAGAAAAAAAAAGAGAGAGAAAAAAATCAATCACATTTACGCAAATAGACAATTATTTTCCAAACTAATAGGCGAGTGGAACATTATAATTATTTTGTTGTGGCACCTAGACATCCTTCAAGCTCTGAAATAAATTCTCTCTAATGGGTTTAACCTTTCTCTTATGGAAGAGATAATAACACATGTGGCAGACAATGCATCAGAATTACTGTTTCCCCTATTATGATGTTTTAACTATGAAATCATACAATTTAAAAAAAAATTGAATACAATCAAACATATGCTTTAAGACTGTTTACCTGTTTGTGGATACTAAAAGTCTATATAATATATCTTATTAGTCTGAAAATGACATTGTTGGAAAAAAAATATCCATGATGTCAGTATTTTATATAATCACTATGTTATTTGACCTTGATTGTTCAGTCCCTGACCTTGAATCTTTAAAAATACACACTACAGATTATCAAGGTTGATTTAGTCAATTATTGACCTTTGACCTTCATGAGTGACATTGTGAATTTTTCTAATATGATGCAACACCACTGTGAAAGTGTTCAAATGATGAACAATTGTGTAAGTAAATCAATTCTGGGCAATCAAAATATATAACAAGGAAATAAATTAACCCTTTGATGATGACCGTCAAACATGAATGTTGGTATCTATCTATTGGTTGATTAAATCAAATGGTAACATGAAATTCAGCAGAAAAATAAGGCACAGCTTAAAAAGACTCTGTAATACCTGTCTACAGACAGCAATCTCCATATTTACAAAAATTAAATGAATGCCAACACTGAAGACATGGTCATTACAATAACTTCTGATCACTCTTTTTTTTACAAAAGTGAAGCTGGAATTGACTTCCAATCTGACATGATTATCACCAAAACTTATGAAAGATTACAGTCACTTATCAGTGACTTTCTTGCTTATATAACTGACTTTGATAAAAGGCCTCTTTCCAATTGAAATTTTCTTTAAAATCATGCAGTTTTCCCAAAAATGTTAACTTAAACCTGCTTTTTTACTTCCCCAAAAAGCAATTTTAACAATAATTTTTCCCAAAATCAAGTGGCTAAGGCCTCTTCCCAATAAAGAGAGAAAAATCACTTGTTTGTTTCATTTTACGCCTTTTCCCAACAGTAATTCAGTCATATAGGCGGGTAGTTTCCTAATCATCGTTCTTGGAGAGTAGGGTTGGATATCGTTCTTCACGAAACGGTCCGATACCGATACCGGTACTGACGAAACGATACGGGTATTTTATCGATACTGATACTGATACTTTTACAATACCAAACCCGTTGCTGCAAGTATAAGAACTGAAGAGATATAACATGTAGTAATAGAAAATAAATATGTTACATTACTGGTCTTTCTGAAATTTCATGCTGTAAAGTATAATTTTCTTTTGTTGTTTTGTGTTTACTCTTTTTTACAACATTTACACATGTTAATTGTAAAATACTTTTACTTTTTCATCAAAAGAACATGACATAATTTAAACACAGAAAAAAATATCTTATGCAGGACAGCGGTCTGCAGCTGAGAAGTCTACAAATTATTGTTTTAATCTTGATATCTCTACATCTGAAAGAATTTAAGACAGTTGGTTATCTATTATTTTCTTACAGCTATTATTATTACTGTGTAGAAATTTTATTCTGATGCTGATATTCTTTTTAAATCACATTATTGTTTACTGTAATAAATGAAATCACTGGATTGGTTGGCTTACTTTGCAATTTGGAATTACATGTAAGAAATTTCATTAGATGTTTTTTTCAAAGTCACTTATGTTTCCAGTCTGTTCTACTACAACAGCATAAACATATTTTCCACCAGTAATTAACTTAGAAATTTTGAAATACATGTATATGCACAGTCAGCACAGACTGTTTCCAAAATGACTTGTTTACATTTTCATGTTAACCTAATATTAGTCCTTGTAGAAGTCATAAAGCAAATACCTATGCTTTACAAATAATAAGGATTTGGTATTTATTAATATTGAATTTACCCTTCAATTTTATACATCTTTTATTTTTCAATAGCATGCACCGTTAACATCTTGCTACAGAAAAAAAGTATTGTCCTTACCAAATTGCATAATTCCATACTGCTCAAATACGCAATAATACTAGCCAACATTTGCAAAAAATCCTACAAAACACTATATGAAATATGTTTCAGTTGTTTAAAGTATCACAGATCTAAATGTGTAATACACACAAGTTGACCTTTGACAGGTGCATAATAGGCTATTCAAAAGAATATGCCTCCCTTTGATGTTCTTACTCTATCACCATCAAAGAGCCGCCGACATTCACACTTTTTGATTGAAGTTCTGTCAGCATTCTTTTGTTAAGAAAATGTATACATGTTTAATAATAGTTCAGTGTTACACCAAAAACAAAAGGAGGCATATTTTGTTGGAATATTTCGGCCTCATTTATGTTAAAATCGTAATTCACGTGTGGATTTGTACATGTGGTAATGGATGAAAAGAACCTGGAAACATTAAATATGTATTCATTATGAGTGTTTAGAGACTTAAACTGAAAAAAGGATTTAATTATTTTTTAAAAGCATTGTTTGAATAAACAATTGTCATATGTTGGATTTACATTGTCATTACGGCAAAAGCTGTGTGCGATGTGTTTGGAAGGACTGTGTGCGATGTGCCGATGATTACTCGAGTATTTGATTTGTTTTCTCGTTGTTTCTTTGACATTTAAAACTTACAAACTTTTAGCAAAATCAGTTCAAATAATTATATTTTCCTGCCGAGAACAAAAATATTATTATCTTGAAAATAAGCGGCACAATACTTTTACAAAAATATCGCCGCGTCACAAACTTCAAGTTTGCCACGAAAGCCGTACTCGCCGCATGATAATAGTAATTCATAGTTTGTTTTACGTGTTTGTAGGCTGTTTTTATTTAAAAATCTTCTCATTTTTTTGACATATTGACTATTAAATTTTTTTTTTTACAAAATTACAAAAGTATCAAATCCAGTACCGGTATTTTACGAAACGGTATATACCGGTAATTTACGAAGTTACTATTCGGTATAGGACCGATACCGGGAACCGGTGTCCAACCCTATTGGAGAGTTACACCAGTACTAGACTACCTTCCTCCATGCTAAACTACCAAAGCATCTCCCGGGTTAACTGGATTAGAAGTCATCGACTCTAACCCCTCGACCACGGAGGCGATATAGAAAAATCATATCACTGCTTGTAAAAAGATGACAAAATTATTTTGTAACTTAGGAGTTATAACTTACTGGGAGAATAACAAAATATGGTGACAGCAATGGCTGCATGACGTTCTTCATATAATCAACAACTAATTGCAATTCTTCATGTATCCTGTCCATTTTATCCTGAAAATAAAATTAACTTTGCAGTTATATTCTGTTTTAAACATATATTCATCCAAAGTATAATAAATTGTTCCAGGATTATCATTTTAGCAAAAATGTGTTATTAAGTTTTTCAACTAAATCAGGCTAATAAATCAAATTTAATGTTGTGTTTATTTCCTTATCAACTTTTCCCTATTTTTCTATTTATAGTGTCCCAGTAGATCTAAATATGAATGAAAAAAAATGTTTTAAGACATCAGTGAGGTTCCTTTAATATTAAATACTTATTTCTAACAAACATAAAGAAAGACAAAAATAGATTACCTCTGCATTTGTTAACAAATGACCTTTACCCCAGTATTTTGATTTGGCAAGTCTGTACACCATCTTTTCCTGAAATGCAATTTAGAAAACTACACATTTAGTAAAGGAAAACTTAAATTTTTTTCTGGTCTTATAGCATACATCGTTTTTAGCATTGTAACTAAGCTTCTTCCCCATTCAAATATACCTACTTTTCTTTCAAAATCCAAACATTTTCAATCACAAAAAAAATCTACCAGGTGAAATTATTTAGCTGTGTGATATGTGATATCGGTATGCATTGTAAGGCTCCCACGTTTACAATATTTTGTAAACGTTTACACGATTGCTAAGAACCGAAACGATAACGTTTAAACGGTGGTACCTCTATGTTCTATACACAACATGTATTTGAGTCGCCAAATGATGTCTTTCTTTCTATTTTTTACACATGTTCTTATAAAAAATGCGCATCACGATTGAGTCAGCACACATTTTTTGCATTGTAACTCCATTTTTTACCAAAAATGTATTATGTCACGAGCAATTTTGCACCGTAGTGCTGTGTGGAGGGTTGTAAATACCTATTTTCCTTTTACTTTGGAATAAACCACTATAATTGATAAAATCCATGAATATTAATTAATTAATTAACAGGCAATGATTAAGAAATTTTGTAAGACAATATGGTTATTTCGATTAAACGGTAAACAATATCGTAAACGTTTATGAATGAAAATCGAAACGAATCCGTTTAAACGTGTAATCGTGGGGGCCTTAATGCATTGTCATGTAAAATACTATATAGTATCTATTAAGGCACCCATGGTTACAACTTTTGTAAACATTAACTTAAATGTTAAACAAAAGGATCATGATGACTCTATATTGCACACCTAAGTATAAAGGCTCAAAATAACAGAGAACTGATAATATTGATAACTACTAATGAAAGACAGGCATTATGTCGAAATCAAGGCCAACTGATATCAAAGTTAAAATCTGAATCTGTGACAGCAGTTTTCAATGATGTAGTTCTCAAAATAAAAAGGTCACTTGGTCAAAATGCTGACCAACATTCCTTTAAGGTTTTGTGGCTGTAGGTAAAGCTACTAAAAATTGCAAATTTTAATAAGTCAAGGGCAATAACTCTTTAAATACTGAATAAATCCACAAGCCAAACTTTAGGTGCACAACTACACATGCGCATCAACATTCCTGTAAAGTTTCATGACTCCAGGTCAAATACTTTTTGAGCTTCATGCGACGCAAGTTGAAAATTGTCAATTTTACTGAGGGCTATATAAACTAAAATAATCCACACACAAAAAAACCCAGGTGCACAACTTCACATGTGTAATGTTTGTTGACTCTAGCTTCTACTCTAGCTCAAGCACTTTTAGAGCTACATGTGACACAACATCAGCATGCCCACTGATTTTTTTAAAAGTGGGTACAAGACCCACCTGTTTTGAAAAAAGTGGGTTCAGTATAAAAAAAATGTGGGTATCACTTTTCCAGAGAAATAAAGTGATGAAAAAACGCAAGAAAAGCACATTTTAATAAATCAAGATTTTAATAAATTCAAATGTTTTGATGCAAACAATCATACTTTCAATGCAATAAATTTAAATGTTTTGATGCAAACAATCATACTTTCAATGCTACTAGCTTCCTTTTATATGACTGTCTGACATTTTTGTTCTTTTGGCATTTTCTTACAATAGTACTCAATCAGAACTTTGTCGAGATCAGATAAAATAAAAATGAAAAATAGAAATTTGCTAATTCTACCAAAAGTAACCAAAAGTTATTTTTTATTTGGAGTGAATCGATAATTTCACCTATAATTTTTTTTATCTAATTACCATTTTTTTTGTATTTTTTCTTTTTTCTCATTATAATGTATGTTCTAATTAGATTCTAATTTTATTACAGTATTTGTCACTAAAAAAAACAGCCCTTGTTACTAATTAAATATCGTGTGATAAAATCATTCACGACATCTGAAGTGAATTGAAAAGACAAAAAAATATGATCGGATCAAACAATAACAATGTAGTATTTAATTTTATACGAAATTCATTGGTCATGTGACATGTCAGCTGACAGTTATTATTTTCGCCTGACCGCGGCAGAACATTAGGCCATGAGGGCTGACTAAATTTTTGTTTGTAAATACATCAGCCACACTTTCGTTTGCATTTTCATCCGTGCATAATTTATATATATTTGAGATTATTAAAGGTTATTCCCGTCTGCAACATAAATAATTAACTTACTGTTAGGCTTCTTCACTGTTTCTCCATCATGATTTACAATATTCAGCATACCCACTCACGCACTACAGTGCGTAATTCACGCACAAAATTCTAGATGCACGCATAAAAATTGTAAGTAGGGGGTACATGCACACAAAGTAAAATCGTCAGAATGAATGTTTGGGATAGCCTAATTTGCATATCAACTAAATGTTGTTGCCATCTACCAATGGTTAGGAACAGTCTAAATCCGGTCACAATTGCTTGTCTGCTTTCAAAGTCATCTCAGTCTGATTCGTAAATGTTTTAGTCATGTTTTGACATCACATGTACTGTCTTAAGAAAAAAAGTTTTGGATATTTACAACTTCCAAAAAGTATATTGTGTTCTCCAATGATCAGCAAAAACATATTGAGATTTTGAAATAAATGTACATAATTTCGGATATACAAAATTTTGGTTATGGGTAATAATCGTATGGACTTAACAAAATACCAGTGATTGTAATGGCTGTTATATTGCTACCTTAAGTGATGAGTTTGTGTCTGTGTTAGTGGGTAGTAATACTTAGTGAAACAGCTGTTCATTAATATCATGTTGACTAAAATGTTCTTACAAACAAAAACATGTTTAAACTTTTGACTATGTGTACCCCCAGATTTTGAAATGTAACCCCAATTTTCAATAACAGGGGGTACATGTACCCCTTCGTTTGAAATTGAGTGGGCATGCTGATATTATGACGTAACACGCAGGTGCTCGAATTTGTCAAGCGTTTTAGGTCAACCGCCACCATATTTTGATTATTTACATACAGTAAAGGTTGTGGGCCACCAATATATTGCAAATTTTGTTCATTCCCGGTCGGCAATAAATGAAAAATTTAAAGACCTTGAAAAATTTGCGTACTATTTGTATTTTCTGCGTTAAAAACGCATGTTTGTGCATTACTGGGCATGCTGACAACATTTTGGAAGAGTTCTTGACATCAAATTATCTTATCATTTTATTGTACCGGTATCAATTTTTTCTGTCGTTAAATACTATTTAAAATCTCAAAATGGTTTACAGTCAGAAATCATCATAAATGATCCTCTTTTGTAGGGTGACCATCAGCGTAGAAACAAAACATGATGTTGACCCTAATTTACATGAGACACACTTAAACACCGTCAGTGGAAACCGCCAAGTTATGCGTTTATTCAGCTGGGTGACCTCCCTTATGCCATGAAAATGTTTACAAACCTGCCACAGTTGGCCATTTAAATTACAGTGTGATGGGAAAATAGCGGAAATCATAAAGGCATGATGTAGGTTACAAAATTTAATGCAACATGACAATACATCTGGTATGCTGGGAACAGATGAAAATGCCTTTCAAGAACAGAAAATTAAAAGTGAAATAATCGTTTCTTTTCATCACATAAACCTCACAAGACTCTGGACATTAACTGAAGTGGTTTTGACTCAAGGACAAGGTTGACTTTTGTACACTAGAGACTCTAGTCCATATCAGCTTATCATATGTCTATCCAACATGCTAATTACATATTGAATTAACAAATATATTTGACATACATAATAATAATATAATTTTTCATTGCTGTTACTTTATTGATTGTAACAAACGAAAATAACAAACCTAAACAACATAATTTTTATGGGAAAATGTTTCGGATGCTGACATTGCACATCGCAAATCAAAGTCTCTCAAACAACAGAGTCATATATTGCTGACAACCTTTTCTAACAATGTAAACATTTAGATTTAAGTGTTTCTATCTATTCAACCAGCTCACCTCTAGATTTACAAGCACCAAACATGCATTTCCTTCGCCCCGAAATTTCCATTTGCTCGCGTCCGCCATCTTTAATCTAACTTTTCTATCTCCTTTGAAGAGTATTTACAAGAGATTGTATTTTGACGGAAATCGCTCACCTATATTTGATACATCAATGCATTAATTACGGGCTCACTATTCTATTACATTGATTATTTATCTATATTTAATATTTTCAAATGATTAATTTTATTTTGGATAATTAGATTAGATTAGCCCGGGGTTCTATGATATCACGGTACTTAACGTTTATCAGAAAATATTTAAATATAAATATCATAAATGAATGAGATTTTTTTCTATCTTATAATTGAACAATTTCCAGAACTGTTTGTCAAAAAATTATTTCAAAAGAACCAACAAAAATGACTTTTTTCAGAATATTTTCAATGTCTGCCATTTTGGGAAATTTCAGAGGAGGTTACTACCGTATCAAGGTAATCCCCCAAAAAGCAAGTATGGAAGGATAGATGGGTCAAAACTTTCAAGTTAAGTTGTGAAAAACTTCCAACAGCTAACTTGCTATAAAATTAAAACTATATGAACAGACTATATGTCAGTATATGTGTTTATAACATATTTTAATTGACTGTGTAAAAACCATTAAGGAAAATGGTAGTCAAATATGAAGGTTTTATAAAATAGTTTTCTTGCCACAAATACATTCATTATTCACCAAATTAAATTCATCGGCAGGTGAAAATGAATCTAGTGTGCAAGTTTGACAAATATTAGCATCATCAGGTGTTGCTTTTACTAGCAGTCACAGAAAATTTAAATGCCTTGATATCATAGAACCCTTGATATCATAGGAACCGAGTATACATTCTAATTAGATAAATATAATTTATAACTTCATTAATTTAGTGGGAGCCCTAAATTTAATGGTCTGTAGCATTTGGTTTATTTTGTTTGCACATCAGAAAAGTTGAGTTTGAATACTGCTAAGAGCGTGTTTTTCTAAAATGCAATTTTATTAAGAGCTCACTTAAGTAATTAGGTCAAAAATTTATTTTTTTAATTGCAGAAAGCAAATTGTGCGCTTAAAAAGTATTTAAAGGCAATAATAATCATACATAATAATAGATTTTACTCATGACCCCTTCTTGAAAGCTCCAGTTAAGTATGCGCAATTACCCTTTGTCTAAATTTTATGACCCCATGTATGAGAAAATCTTGATCATGCCTATTAAAGTGCTCATATCTTGGTTACTTTTGAGAATTGTCTTCCTTTCTTAAGCTATGATAACACTGACTAAACAAAAGCCACCATCAGTTGAGGGGTCATGCTTAGCTTTTTCTTATTTCTAAAGTCAAACACATTGGAAGGAGAATATTGTAGTATAGAATGCTCCCAGAAAATTTAACTGGCTTGTTATGTTCAAAATATCTTATTTGACATTGACAACAGTCCAGGTCATTTACAGATCAAGGTCATACTCAAATTATTCAAAATGAAGGTGTTGTCATTTAAGTGTTAATGTTTTATCCTAGTAGTATGAATCAAATCTCTCCATTATGATCAATAATGATAAATAAAAAGGTTAATTCAATGACTTGACCCTGATGGTCAAGGTCATTCAAAGGTCAGTCACATTTCGAATTACTCATCACATCAATTTTGTCATCTTTTGTCCAAGAATCATTCAAATACATAAATAAATAACAATGTTAACTTAAAGGCAAATTGTAGCAAATTCACTTATTTGACCATTAATTTCAAGATCAAGTAAAGGTCAAGTTCAAATAAATCTACTTAAATGTTATTTACCAAGGATTGTTGTTCCCAGGTATGAAGCAATTCATTCATTACTTACAAAGTCATATCAAATTATAGCAAAAATCAAGCAAATTCAAGGTCGTTAAGGTCATTGTTATATTGGTCTACTTTAAGGTCTTGTCTAAAGGATGTTTATGTCCACTAAAAAATGACCATTTTGGAAAAATAGGATGAAGGAATTATCTGAACATTTGCACACTTAAGTTATTGGACCAGATCTTTATCAATTCGTTAAGTCAAAAAACCTCAGCTGAGTGCCTTTAAGAAACATGAACTAATCTTCCAATTCTTGAAATTTTGCACAATCACTGAAGTCAGTAAATAAGGCAGTTGCTTACCTTGGCTATGAATTATCTGCCCTTAATTAAAATCAGTAAAAAATTTTAATTCAAGTGAAGATAACTGGAAAGTGATGTTGGTGACTGCATTATATTCCTTTAACTTTTTCATTTAGCATAATCAAAGATCATGCAAAGATTCAATGAATTATATGATATAGTCCGAGCAAATGCCTTACAGGGACTCAACTGAGGTTTTTTTTATCACGACAGACTGAAAATATTTTTTTGACAATAATGTTCCATTTGATGTAGGTCTAGACAAATAGCAAAATTTCAGATCATTCACTTACATGTACTCTGTTTATCCAGAATAATTTTTCTAAATATAAAAAATAACCCAAAATTGAAAAAAAAATCTCATTCAACGCAAATCGGGTTAAGAATAGCGCAAAAATATGACTTTGTTTATTTCTTAATTAATTATTGTTTGCATATCTTTTTGTTTTAAGTGCAGTTAGATTTGAAAATTTTATGTTTTTTGGCTTATGAACTTCAGTAGCATTCATTTAAAGATAATAAGCAGGTTATGGGTTAACACTGTTCTCTATATGGTTGTCTCTGATATGTTTATCTTTGTCAAGGTACCAGTACTATATAAGTAAAGAGCATGAACATTAACTTTAAAAGCTGAACATCTCAAAGATTGACAAGCTGTAAAACAAGGATCATACTTAAAGTTCTTTTAAAAACATCTCTTCCTTCAGTTGTTTACTATTATCTTAATTTAAAAGCTTATTATTATTTGAGTTTATTTTCAGTTCAATAGCAATATAATTCAGGAGTCAGGTGTGTTCAAGCATTTTAATTTTAGGCATTACTGTTAATCCCTCCATTTTTGTTGAAACATAAATGAAGCAGTTTTGCACATAATTGCAAAAATAGAATTTCCTTCATATGGACTAAATTTTGGATATAAATTTATGTTTGAAGGATGTGAAAACAACCAAATTTATTCTTTAGTGTCCAACTTTATTTGTCATCCAATGAAAACGCTGTATTTCTGTGTGTTAATTTTCATAGAAGAAGAAAAGTCGATACTATATCGAATTCCGTTCATAGTTGACTTCTATTTTTCATAGTACTTCATAGAACCGCATAGTGACATAATAAAGTGAATGATAATGAGGCCACTAAGTATGTTAGTTTTCATCCGTAGCTGTTCTACAGAAATTAGAAACATTCTCCTGTCGCTATCGCTCCTGTCAAAGTTTCTAATTTCTGTAGAACAGCACGGATGAACACCAACATATACATAGTCATCCATCAATATAAAGTAGTGAAGAGACCTATTAAGGCTGTGTTTGTACAAGTCAAATATGGTTTGATGAATCAAGAAAAGTTGCCAAAATTTCAAAGTACTAAAGAATATTTGTTACTAGGTAACACTACAGTCAGTAGCATGAATTTATCATTATTGCAAAGTTTAAAATAAATAGAATTTATCTAATTATGATAAAGTACAAAAGAAGTACACATGAAATTTGCACTTGAACCCAGTTTTGATCCTATTCTCTTGCTCGAATCAATGTATTGATTTTTCTGTTCAAATAAATTTGAGTCAGTTACAGTGAAAATTTAGCAGTACAGCGAACAAAAAGAAATAATTTGATTCTGCTTAAAATGACAAAGAAAAAAAATGAAGGTAGAAAATATTCTTGTTTCTGTCTTTTCCCAACAAAAAAAGTATCTGAAAAACTTCACCTGATCACCTGTTAAAATTATCGTAATTTCAATAAAATTATTTTAATATGAAATTTACGTATTCTTGAAAGCTATGCTTTCTTTTCAAATTCTGCAGTACAGATGATTGTATTATTGTCAATTATTTTATTTTCTAATTAAAACTTTGACTGGAACATTAAAAATGGGGTGAGTTTTAGGCGACAACAATTATTTAGGCCTTATTTATTCCACCAATCTGCACACACATATGGTCAGTCTGACCAGTCATTACCTTTGATTGATTAAATTTCAAATCAAGTCTGACCAGTTTATTCAACAAATTAAAGGCAGCTAGATGAGGGATAATAAGCATTTACAAGATTCAGTCTGTAAGAGGCAAGTATTCAATCCTACGATCAAACATGGATCACATCCTCAAATGTATGTATTCTAAAATACGTAATGAAACACAAGTTAAAATAAAGTACACTTTGGTAAGAATTGGAAGACTTAGTATAACTTATTGGAAAGATCAGCCAAAATTTATGCAAATAGAAATGCCATTTTGAAATATTTGTCATTTGTATATCATTGAAGGTTTTAAACATTTAGCAGATGTGGTTTAGTAACTGTTTACATCAGTCAAAGATAAGAACATTCAATTGTTGTTACAAAGGGAGTGGTCAGCCAGTGGTTAAGGGATTGTTTTTAACCAGTTCCTCATTGACAAATGGGCTTGTTTGATCAATGACTGAGAACTCAGTGCTTTTTTCGAACCGAAAAATGCCGATGTTATACCCAACTAGACTTGGTACTGATCCTTCCTGTAAAGTTTGGATAAAATTTTTTAGTAGTTCAGACAAATTTTGTGAGGGACAGACGGGCAATAGAAAAGTGATCCCTGTATGTCCCCACTACTCTGTAGAGGTGACACAAAAAAGGGAATAG